TATAGTGGGACGAAACAATGAAAGATGGGGAAAAACTAAGCCAAAATTAGGGTTCTTCGTGGCTATAAAAGAGGACCTTAGCTACCCAGAAAACCAACCCAGTTTTCAGAGCTCGACCAAGCTTTGTCAAGCGATTTGAAACTTACTCAAGCTACCCAATCTTCTTCCTCCGTTGTTTTCCTCTTCCCCTGAGATAAAATCCTTCTAATTTTCCTCTGCCCTAGTCTTAATTTCTGTCCTCTGTAGGAAGCTCATGTCTTGCTCTCTCTCTCAAATTGCTAAACTCGTGAAAGCTTAGCTCCCATGCCACAAGCTCCTCACGCTAAGTCATCAACAAATTTAATACATTCTTCTGGTCATTAGTGAAAAGAACCCAAACGTATTTTTCTAAGGCTTCAACAAGTTTTTTAAAAATTCTTTTGGGAGTCTGGTGCTCGAACTTAGACTTCAGGAGGTTCTTTTGTTCGCTTTCCTCTTACAGCAGCCCAAGCCCATTCGTCAGGCTGCTGGAGCAAAAAGACCCCCACAATTTCTAATTTAGAAATCTTTATTTGGTCTAGGATCTCTTTCCATTGACAGTGAACAATATACTGTAATAGTCAACGAGTCTGTCTGTCTTGCGGCAAGCACATGGACCTTCATCTTCTTCTCAAAAAATAGGGGCCTTCTTCATCTTTTCCCCCACTATTCGGCTTAGATATATGCTTTTTTCTATAGTTTGTAGTAGGAAGATAGTGGGGTTTAAATAGAAAAACTCTTTTATTTTTTATTTTTTCAACTTGGAGTGTATTTAAGGGTAATTTGGGAAGATAGTGGGGTTTTCTTAGAAATTGTGAAATTTTAAATTAGAAGTTGGGGTGAACTTAGAACATGGGGGTGAACAAAGAGAAGTGTGGGGTTTAAATAGAAAATCTCTTTATAAAAAATTGGGTAGTTGTGTTCCATAAAATTAGGATCTATTATCTGATTTTTCTTTTAATTTTAATTTTTTTAATATGAAAAAGTGTGAATTTATCATATTATCCTCATTTAATTAATAATTTTAATTCTTAATGTTTGCATTGACCAAGGGCATTTTGTGGTATTTTGAATATTTTACCATTCTCTACCTTTTTATTTCTATATATAGATTGGATAATAATATACCATGATAGGTTATATCTAGCATAATGTCAAACTCAATTGGTATTGGTCTAGTTAAACGTGAATCCACACCGTATATATCGTACAACCGTCATACTAACTAGCCTACATATACCCATATCTGATTAATATTATTGGGTACAAGGAACTAATTGAGCTTAATAGAATTACAATGTATAATCTCAAAGTGTGGAATAATACGGAACACTGTGACAATATGATATTTCAGGGTGTAAAGATTAAAGGAGATGGAATAATCGTTCTGTTATTGATATGCTACTATACATAATACTATCCTTTATATATTAGGTTTACAATCTCCTATTCTAGCATAATTCCTAATTAAGGCTACAATCTAGGTTTGACCCATAAATCTTGGAGTCTAATATAGGAAAGACAATTACGATATTTACAATCCTTCAATTACAAGATTTGATTTCCAACACTCCCCCTCAAGTTGGAGAGTGAATGTTGTGAAGTCTCAACTTGCAACTTAAGTAATTGAAGGCATCTCCTCCCAAGGCCTTCGTAAATATATCTGTCAACTCATCTTGTGAAGAAATATAGGAAAGAGAAATTACACCAGCTTGTAGTTTCTCTCTCACAATGTGACAATCAATTTCAATGTGCTTCGTTCTTTCGTGGAAAACTAGATTTGCAGCTATATGTAGTGCAGCTTGATTGTCGCAATGCAAAAGTGCAGGACCCTTCTGTGTAACTCTTAAGTCTCGCAATATATAGCGCAACCATGTACTTTCATGACATGTGACTGCCATGGCCCTGTACTCTACTTCTGCAGATGATCGAGCAACAGTTGATTGTTTCTTTGATTTCCATGATACAAGAGAATTTCCTAGAAAAACACAATAACCTGTTGTTGATCTCCTTGTTGTTGGACAACCTGCATGATCTGAATCGCAATAAGCTCTCAACTCAAGATTGTTCACAGCCGGGAAAAACAAACCTTGACCAAGTGTGCCTTTAATGATCTTAAAACACAAAGTGCGGCCTCCATGTGTGGTTCTCTGGGTTGGTGCATGAACTGACTCAAAATCTGAACTGAATAAACAATGTCTGGCCTTGTGACAGTAAGATAAATTGATCTTCCTACCAACCTCCTATATCTCATCGGATTGTTGAGAAGATCACCATCTGTGGGTTTCAATTTCACATTTTGCTCCATTGGGAATTTTTCTGGTCGTGCACTTGTCAAGCCTGCATCTTGTAAGATGTCTAAGGAATATTTCCTTTGTGACATAAAAAGACCTTTCTTAGATTGGGAAAATTCAATGCCCAAAAAATACTTCAAGTCACCAAGATCCTTGATGCGAAACTATTTGAGAAGGAAAGATTTAAGACGTTCCATTTCTTGAAGATTATTGCCTGTAATGAGAATATCATCAACATATATGAGCACACCTGTAAAAGAATCTCCATTAACCCTGGTAAAAAGAGAATAGTCAGCCATAGATTGTTGAAAGCCTGCTTTCTTAATAGCATGGGAAAATTTGGAGAACCAATTACGGGATGCCTGTTTAAGCCCATAAAGAGACTGACTCTCCCCCTGTCGGCAAAGACCGGGAGGAGGGACCATATAGACCTCCACCTATAAGTCATCATGGAGAAAGGCATTCTGAACATCAAGTTTGTGAATAAACCAATTACAAGCAGTAGCAATAGATAAAAGGCAGCGGAGAGTAGTAATCTTGGCAGTAGGGGAGAAAGTCTCACTGTAATCAACACCCTCAATTTGGGTGTAGCCTTTGGCGACTAGGCAAGCCTTGTAGCGCTCGATAGAACCATCTTAATTGTATTTAATTTTATAAACCCATTTGCAGCCAATGGGTTTGTGACCAGGCGGTAAAGGAACAAGTGTCCAAGTACGATTGAGTTGCAATGCATCCAACTCGGCTTTCATGGCAAGTTGCCAATGGGGATCAGAAGCAGCTTGAGCATAATTAGTAGGCTCATAGGTTCCTGAAACGTTAGCAAGAAAAGCACGATACGAAGGAGAAAGACGATGATAGGAAATAAAATTAGATAAAGGATGACGAGTACTTGAAGAATGGGTTGGCCCCGAGGAGGATGACGAGTCAAGGGAGGTAGAAGAGAAGCCCATAAAATAATCATTTTGCCAACGCGATGGGTGCGTCAAACGAGTGGAGTGTCGTGGAGGTTGTTGGTTCGGGGCATCAAGCGAAGAAGGAGGAATTGGGTCAGTAATAAATGGGGGGACTGCATCTGTGGGCACAGTATGATTGTGATGAGAAGGAGGCCCAACATGGGTTGGGGATAGTGGGCTAGACACGGGCCCAATATCCAAAGTAGGGAGACTAGAGGTTGGAATGGGAGAACCGGGTGGTGGAGTGGGTCCATGAAGGTGGGTTTGTAGAAGTGGAGTGGGGCCAGGTAGATGGCTTTGTGTAGGTGTAGTGGGATCGGGTAGATGGATTTGTGCAGGTGTAGGTGATGGAGTAGGACTAGGTGGGGGAAAAAATGTATCATCTGGATATGGTATAGGTAAAACTGGTTGGTTGAGAGAGCTGGGTGGGGTGTGTTCATGGGATTGAAAAGGAAAAATATTTTCAAAAAATTTGACATCCCGACTCACAAAAAAATGTTTGGTGTCAAGATCATAAAGTTTGTAACCCTTTTGCCCTGCAAGGTAACCCAGAAAAATACAACACCGTGCACGAGGGTCAAATTTGTGAGTGGTATGGACGTTGGTGGCGTAACACAAGCAGCCAAAAACACGAAGGTGATCAAGATGTGGTAATTTGTGATAAAGCAATTCAAATGGGGATTTATCGGATAATAAGGGTGTGGGTAAACGATTGATTAAATACACAGCAGTCAAAACACAATCACCCCAAAAAGACAAGGGAATATGCGATTGAAAGCGCAAAGCACGCGCAACTTTAAGGATGTGCCGATGTTTACGTTCAACTACACCATTTTGTTGAGATGTATAAACACAAGAGCGTTGAAATTCAACCCCTTGGGAGACAAAAAAAATCCTTCAAAGAAAGAAATTTAGAACCATTATTAGTGCGAAGGGTTTTGATAATGACATTAAATTGATTTTTGACCAAGGAAAAAAAAGATTTAAGCAAAGTTTGTGTTTCATATTTAAGTGACATCAAAACACCCAAGTGCATCGAGTAAAATCATCCATAATGGTAAGAAAGTAACGTGCACTAGTATGTGAGTGAACACGATGTGGACCCCAAATATCACAATGTAACAATTCAAACGGTGAAGAAGTTGATGTTCTACTTAAGGAAAAGGGAATCCGAGTTTGTTTGGCCATAGGACAAACAATGCAAGAATGATCAAATGAAGAAGATATAAATGGAAAAGATTTAGATAACAACTGAAGGCGAGCTGAGGAAGGATGTCCAAGACGATGATGCCATATGGTGGATGTGTGCATGACATGACAAGAGACAGGTGCTTTGGTCAATGGCGACATATAATATAGGCCTCCATTTTGCTTACCCCAACCAATCATCTTCCTCGTAGCCAAGTCCTGAATAACACAAAAATCAGGAAAGAGAATTATACAACAATGAAGAGATTTGGTGAGTTTACTAGCAGACATTAAATTTAAACGAAAATTAGGGACATGAAGAACATGTTCTAGGGTGATGTCTTTATTAAAAAGAATTGTGCCTGTGGAATCAATAGGAACAGATGAACCTATGGGTAAATTGACGGAAGGTATAGAAGAGGATTTGCTATGAATAAAAAGAGAAGAGTCGGATGTGACGTGATCCGTAGCTCCACTGTCAAGAATCCAAGAGTTAGAAAACATAGAATTAACAGATGGAGTGTGGGAAGTGTGAAATCGACTTGCTGCATTATAAAAAGAATTTGGGTTTCCATAGGGAAGTTGGGACAAATTTACCATAGCGGCAGCGAGTTGTTTGCATTGCTCTTCTGAGAGGCCAACAAGGACGTTGAGGATGGGCCCCAAATGAGAGGAAGGGGTTGTCTGAGAAAGGGCTGCTGGAAGACATGTTGACCTTATGTGCTGAAAAATTGGAGCATGTATTGTTATTGCTATCACGTGGCTGATGTGGATGATTCCCAGCAAGGACATTGGAATTGCCCATGGTGAAGACAAGGGAGTGAAACCCTCAAAAGTTTCAAAAGAAAATAAAGATGTAAATCACTAGCCACCGGATCAGTGCTCTGATACCATGTAAAGATTAAAGGAGATGGAATAATCGTTCTGTTATTGATATGCTGCTATACATAATACTATCCTTTATATACTAGGTTTACAATCTCCTATTCTAGCATGATTCCTAATTAAGGCTACAATCTAGGTTTGACCCATAAATCTTGGGGTCTAATATAGGAAAGACAATTACAATATTTACAATCCTTCAATTACAAGATTTGATTTCCAACACAGGGTACCCAGAGGATCAAGTACATAAACCAGATAGTCCAGTGTTAAGAGTACATACAGGTACATACACCTAAATACTGGGTATGGTAATAAGCTAGTTTGATCCATATCAGTAGCAATTCATGTTATGTACCTGACTATTCTATATTGAGTGCTACTATTTCCACCCCCTTATCTTATTTTCCCATCCACCTTATCTTTTCACCCACCATATAAATTTGAAAAAACACAATCTTATTTTCCCACTCACCATTATCACTAAAATGCCCTTTAAATTAATTCAAACAATTAAAAAAAAATAAAAAATCGAAAAGAAAAAGAATCATCAACCACCGCCCACGCCCCCCCCCCCTCCTCCTCTTCTTTGTTTATCTTCTTCTTTTCTCTCTCTCTCTCTCTCTCTCTAGAAAAAAAATAAGGAATATATAAGTTCATTGTGGATCTACCCATAAGTTGAATGGGGTTCAGTTGGACCTGCGATCCATATCCCACCCACCTGCAAGTCTTATTTGCAAATCCCATCCGCTCATATAATTGACAGATTCGTGGTGGGAGACGTCGACCAGGGGAGGTAGTGCTGGGTTCGTGATGGCTACTGTTTTTTGTACAATCTTTTATTTTTTCAATTTTTTTATTCTTTTAATTTTAAGGAAGATGGAGACAACCCATATGAAAAGATTGAAGGATTGAGATTAAGATTACGTTGTTGATGTTAAGAAAGAAAAGGGCAAAGTTTGAAAACGAACAACAGATGTTAAATAAGATTGTTCTTTGTACATGAAAGAGAGATGGAGGAAGGAATATAAACAAAGAGGGAGGCGGCAGCGAGGGCCATGAAGGGGAATTGCCATCGGGGTTGGGTTGGGAGGGTTCCTTTTTTTTTTTCTTTTTTTTTTTCGTTTTTAAAATTTTATTCTAAAGGGGAATTGCCATAAGTTGATGAATGATGAGTTCATCGCATTGCTTCCTTGATGTTGCAATTGTGCAGGTTTGCATATGCGATTGTTTTCTCCTATCTTGCAAGTTTCCTGAGCGTGCTTTTTTTTTCTTTTCCTTTTTTTTAAAAACTAATATATTGTGTTGTGAAAGAAAATTAATTAACTTTATATGAATTTTTAAATATGTTTTTTTCAATTCCTTAGAAGTAATTTTATAAAGGGATAAATTTATCTTTAAAATTTTGAAAATAAGGTGGGTGGGAAAATAGGACAAGTGGGTGGAAATAGTAGCACTCTTCTATATTTACTTGGCCCTGTTCCTTACCTTAAGGGGGTCGTTTAGGGTAAAGAACTTTATTATAAGGGTTTTTAATTGTAAACGTCTTCGAACTTCGCCTCGAGTTTTAATTGGGTCTCGGATTATTTTTTTGTGCCAATTAGGTCTATTAACTCGACAAATAGTTCCAACTGGGTCCTACTGTTCAACTCTATCAATTTGTCCATCAAAATGAGGGGGTAAAAGCGTCATTTCAGGTTCTTCATCCATTATCAACCCCAACAACCCCACCTCCATCTATAGAGTTCAAGGTATATATAACTTATAAGCATCATGAATTGAGGATGGATAGTTAAATGGAAGTTATAAGGATATAGTTTTTTAGATATATACACAAGATTCAGCCCCAAATAAGGGGACGCAGAAGTATCCTAGTGGCGGGAAAATGAGGGGGTAAAAGCGTCATTTCAGGTTCTTCATCCATTATCAACCCCAACAACCCCACCTCCATCTATAGAGTTCAAGGTATATATAACTTATAAGCATCATGAATTGAGGATGGATAGTTAAATGGAAGTTATAAGGATATAGTTTTTTAGATATATACACAAGATTCAGCCCCAAATAAGGGACGCAGAAGTATCCTAGTGGCGGAGCTGGATGGGTATAGGAGTCATGGCAACCTCAGCCCTACATCTAGCTCTGCCATGACAAGCCTATATAACTAAGTTATAGAACAAGCCAACTGATGTGGCATATAATATGATAATTTTTTATTTGTTATACGTATTAATTATACGATAAGTTGAATTTTAACCAAAAAATAGAAACAACAATAATCAGCGTGAGCCTAGAGACCATCCATAAATCCTCAAACAAATACTGGCCCACCGAAATAGGTTACTACCTCAAAAGTGTAACCGCCCAACTCTTTTTCAAGTCCAAGAGAGGTTAACTTGATCGATTGATGCCAAAACTCTAAATAATTCGAGGGCAACATGCATTCCGCCCTCATTGATTTGACCATCATGACAGATCTTTATTTTTAATAGGTGCACGGTTAAATATTTTTAACCACTTGAACGACTTGCAACGTATTTACCCCTTTAATGGGTAGTTTTTCATCCCTATGAGTTTGATAAAAGGCTCACAAAGGAGTTTTATTTGAGAGCATGGGCTCGCCCCTAAATTAAAATTTCTTATCATAATAATGAGTTTCAAAACGACTAGATATATATATGAACCAATGAAATATTATCACGTATGATCAATTGGGATAACATTAGTTAGAGATAAAGTTAACACCTCTAATAATATTTATGATTATCAAAATATGAAGATTTGAATCTATCATTCATGTGGTTGAAATAAATTGGGCCTTCGGATACACATGCATAAGCCTTATATAAGTTTGGGCATCTAGGGCACAATTGACAATTTGAAGATAAATCAATTTTAAAATAAATAAGCTTAATCCAATCAGACACATCAAAAAAGAAATCCAATATCCAACAAAATTTTCCAGACCGAAATTAAACCTAAAAAGTTTACAAAAATTTATAAAACATAGAGAAAATCTAAAACAAAAACAAACTTTAAGCACTCTGTCCTCCCTTGCCCTTGCCCATGGCAATGCCTTCATCGTTAACAACATACTTCCGCCAATATGGATGATTCTCCCACACAGTGTGCATTTCTTCAATTGGAACTCCTTTCGTTTCGGGCAACAATTTGTAGATGAAAATGCTCATCACCACCACACAGACAGAGAAGAAGAAGAACAAGCCAAACTTCATGTGGCAGAGCATGGCTGTGAAGACTTGGGCTATGGCAAAGGTGAAGATCATGTTGACGGAGACATTGATAGCCTGAGCAGCAGACCTTACTTCAAGTGGGAAAATTTCACTGGGCACCAACCATCCTAGAGGCCCCCAAGACCAGGCAAATCCAGCAACGTAAACACAGATTAAGAGCACCAAGGGAACTGCAAACCCTAGTGTCAACTTTCCAGGGTTGCCGCTGACCCCAAATTTAACAGCCATAGCAATTCCAATAGCCACCTAAAAATGACAACAAAAGAAAAAAAAAACATTAAATTGTGATTTTTTTTTGTATGAAATTGAAGGAAGTAAACCATAAAAATAGAAGAAAATAAAACAAAGAGGGAAATAAAAAAGGAACTTGTATTCTTTAACATACCTGCATGAGGAGCATTTGGCAACCACCCTGTAAGAAAAGCTTCCTCCTTCCAACCTTATCAACAGTGAGAATTGAGACAAATGTAGCTAAGGCATTAACGAGATTGGTGATGACAGCTGACATGAGAGAAGCACTGCTTCCAAACCCCATTGTTTTGAACAAGACAGGAGCATAAAACGTGATCACGTTCATGCCGGTGAGTTGCTGGAAGGCGGGGATGCCGATTGCAAACACAAGCTGGGGTCTATATTTCCTGCTCAACAAGCTAACCCATGGGTGTTTTACCAACTTGGATGCTTCACTGGCCACAACTAGGTCGTTAAACTCCTCATCAACATTCGGAACTCCTCTGAGCTTAAGAAGCTGAGCTTTGGCTTCCTCATGCTTGCCACGCTCGACCAAGGAGTTTGGTGTATCAGGTAAAAACAATGCTCCAACTATGATTATAATGAGCACTCTGTCCTCCCTTGCCCTTGCCCATGGCAATGCCTTCATCGTTAACAACATACTTCCGCCAATATGGATGATTCTCCCACACAGTGTGCATTTCTTCAATTGGAACTCCTTTCGTTTCGGGCAACAATTTGTAGATGAAAATGCTCATCACCACCACACAGACAGAGAAGAAGAAGAACAAGCCAAACTTCATGTGGCAGAGCATGGCTGTGAAGACTTGGGCTATGGCAAAGGTGAAGATCATGTTGACGGAGACATTGATAGCCTGAGCAGCAGACCTTACTTCAAGTGGGAAAATTTCACTGGGCACCAACCATCCTAGAGGCCCCCAAGACCAGGCAAATCCAGCAACGTAAACACAGATTAAGAGCACCAAGGGAACTGCAAACCCTAGTGTCAACTTTCCAGGGTTGCCGCTGACCCCAAATTTAACAGCCATAGCAATTCCAATAGCCACCTAAAAATGACAACAAAAGAAAAAAAAAACATTAAATTGTGATTTTTTTTTGTATGAAATTGAAGGAAGTAAACCATAAAAATAGAAGAAAATAAAACAAAGAGGGAAATAAAAAAGGAACTTGTATTCTTTAACATACCTGCATGAGGAGCATTTGGCAACCACCCTGTAAGAAAAGCTTCCTCCTTCCAACCTTATCAACAGTGAGAATTGAGACAAATGTAGCTAAGGCATTAACGAGATTGGTGATGACAGCTGACATGAGAGAAGCACTGCTTCCAAACCCCATTGTTTTGAACAAGACAGGAGCATAAAACGTGATCACGTTCATGCCGGTGAGTTGCTGGAAGGCGGGGATGCCGATTGCAAACACAAGCTGGGGTCTATATTTCCTGCTCAACAAGCTAACCCATGGGTGTTTTACCAACTTGGATGCTTCACTGGCCGCAACTAGGTCGTTAAACTCCTCATCAACATTAGGAACTCCTCTGAGCTTAAGAAGCTGAGATTTGGCTTCCTCATGCTTGCCACGCTCGACCAAGGAGTTTGGTGTATCAGGTAAAAACAATGCTCCAACTATGATTATAATGGCAGGGACTGCAGCACCTCCCAAACTCAAACGCCATCCCCCACCGCCTTTGATCTTGGCAAAGAAATAGTTAAGCACACCAGCAGCAAGGATTCCAATTGTGATCGACAATTGGAACATCATGTTGAGAGCACCACGGTATTTAGATGGGGCTGTTTCAGAGACATAGATCGGCACAGACTGCTCAAAAGGAATTAAAAAAACGAATTAGGGTTTGTAAAAAGTACGCGCGAATAACCTGAAATTCATAAAGTATAATCTATGTATCAAAAAAGAAAATCATAATCATGGGTACCTGATTGGCACATCCAATACCAAAACCAAGAAGTAGACGACCAACATAAAGCATCCAAACAGCATTAGCAAAGGCATTGACCAAGGCACCAGCCAAGAAAAGAACTCCACCCAAGATCATTGTGAGCCTGCGACCACACACTCTGGTTATAGTTGATGCAAAAATGCATGCAACCAGAGCAGCCAAATATAGCGAAGATGTGAAAAGTGTAAGTGTCTGGCTATCGAATTTGCAGTACTGATCGTCGGAAGGTTTGATCGAAGACTCTTTCTGGTAAACCGCTGGAAAGAACTGTTTCAAGAAAGAGTCCATGGATGTAACACCGCCTGCATAATCACCAAATCAAATTTGATGTCATGTATATTCTTATAAGTACATGGTAATTCTAGAAATTAAAGGATGCATATATACATAAAATAAAACTGAGTTGTGGAAAAAAAAAATGTTACATACCTGAAACTCCAAGGTCGTACCCAAAAATCAGACCCCCGGTAGCCGCAACAATACATGTTATAAGAACCCTAGCTGTGAGTTTACCAGGGTATTGTTTTCCACCAGTCGATGGAGCTATACCGCCCCCAGCCATTGTTACCTTCTTCTAACTATTTCTCTCTCCTTCACTTAAAAATCAATCTAAGAAAGCTAAGAAAACTAGGGCACTTGAAGCAATAAAAACTGAACCAGAGAAAACGAAGAGAAAACAACTTGGAGGGATCGATGGAATTAAGCGTACACAATTAGGTGGGTTTGATGAGGTATTTATAGTTCAAAACGTCCTGTGTCTAGCAGGATTACTAGTACTAATTAGATAATGAGAGTCTATCAACTTAATCTTATCCGCATTTGTAAATCCAAGTAAAATCGTATTCCTAACTGATTTTGAAAATTTACTAGCATTTCTTTTTTTCGTATTTACCCCATTGGATTGTTTTTAAAAATAATTATTTACATTTTGCTGGAGGAGTAAATGCACAATCCAAACAGTAAAATCCGAACAAGACAAAACAATTTGATACATTCATGAAAGGAGTCGGACCCTCATCCTTTTTCTTTTCTTTTCTTTTTTAAGACAATGACATAACATTTTCAACTCAAAGAACAATCCTAAAAATCGGGATGTTGTTAATTATCAAACTGTCCTTGAACTATGCATGGATTCAGTTATTATTAAATTATGTATCCTTAAATTCCTCTAGGCTTTGCATTTAGTCATTTTGTTAAATTGTTTTTATTTCCCTAAGTATATGATTTATCTTTTAGGGGTAATATAGACTTTTCGCCGGGCAATGGTGAAAGTATTTAAATTACCTGCAGCCCCATCACATGTGCAGCTGCTGTTGGGTTATCCAAATTATGATGTGCCTCAAACAGTTCCAAAACCAAGGAATTCTAATAGTCTCCGACCTCTTCTCCTTCCTTTGATCACAATGTGCACTCAGATCCAAATGTTGTGGTTTCTAAATGTTCCATAGTTGAGGAAAAAATTACTTTTACAATCTGTTTTTGGTATAGAATTACTTAGAATATGCTTTCAGTGAAAATGTCACAATCTCTCGTGCAGGTTACGGGAGAGCTGCACGATGATCTCACTTGCTGGGATGCCCTGCGGGCTGCATTGCCTGTCGGAACTGTTAGTGGTGCACCAAAGGTTGCCAGTTAACTTTTACTTTCTTCCTTTTTTCCAATTTACCTTCCTAAAGTTTTAGAAATCTTCTCCTCAATCTTATCATCGTTTGTGATCTAATTAATATGCAGGTGAAGGCCATGGAGTGGCCGGTACAGCGGTGGATTTGGACCGGTTTCCTTTTCTGGTGATATGGACATTGCGCTAGCTCTGAGGACCATGGCAGGATCCCGTTTCGACACATTGTACTCTTACAAAGATGCCAGCCGGCGCCGGGAATGGGTGGCTCATCTTCACCTAAAGGCACAAAATTTACTTGTTATACGTATTAATTATACGGTGGGCCGAGTTTTAACAAAAAAACAAACAACTATCATCTTGAGCCTAGAGACCATACATAAATCCCCAAACAAATAATGGCCCGCCGAAATAGGGAGGTACCTCAAAAGTGTAACCACCCAACTCTTTTTCAAGTCCAAGAGAGGTAAACTTTGTTCCTTAGTGTTACATGCTATAACATGTTGAATTTGATCAATAAATATTTATATATAAAAAAATATTTGTTTTAGTACTTCAAAATAATCATTTTATATGTGACGCTCCATTAGCGTTCGAGTCTCATTGCCAACAGTCCTTCCTGGTAAAGGTCTAAGGTTTGCCCTGGCCCTGGGTGTGGGGGTAGCCTCTCCCTGCCCTAAACATTTTTTTCATTTTTTTTTATTTAAAAAAAGTCATTTTGCACTCATCACTCATCTCTTCCTTAATTATTTTTTTCATTATAGAAATAAGGTTATTTACTCAAATGGTCCTCAAACTTATACTCAAGTTGTATTTGGGTCCCTCAACTAAATTATTCGTTCAAATGGTCCACCAACTCTTTATTAATCGGCGCATTGGTCCACCATTACATTTTTTTTGTGAGTTTTAGTCATGTGAACTGCATGTGAGGAGAATAGGAAGGGTAAATGCAACTTTTTCAGAGTGGAGTTTTCGTTTCCCTTTTTCTTCTTCTTCTTCCCTCCCTGTACAACCAAATGACAATGGCATCGGGAGACAACCAGTCGGCACGGGAGAGAAGACAACAACGGCGACTTCGTTCAGACACGACTTCTTCGACTTCAATGGCCAAGGTGGTGGCACGCGTTGAGCTTCATGACATGTTTCAATGGTGGAGCCGGCTTGTTGCCCCGCTAAATGGTAAGAAATGGGAGCAAAGGATTGAGGGAGAAGGCACATGGGTACCTTGATCAATTTATGATATTGGATTCCTCTCACTGGAGTTGCAAAAATGGAAAAAGAAAAAAGTAGTTTTTTTTTTTGTGGTGAAAACCAAGGTATCCCCCGCGCGATTGCGGGGACTAACCCTCAAGGTACTGTCGGGCGCAAAGCGGGGACCTCTCCCAACAAAGTCTGCTCTATTCGCAAGCGCCTGGGATCAAACCCAGGACCTCTTGTTTAAAATATAAAAAAAAAACTTTTTCTTTTGTTGCTCTGTGGGATAAATATGAGATGAGATCAAGGGGATATTTCTTGTTTTTATTTATCACTTGTTTTTTATATGTTCTTCTTTTTAAGAGAATGAAGAAATTTTTGTTTTCTCCATGATGAGAGAAGAGAAGAAGGCAGAGCCACTCCCACCACCCAGCCCAGCCCACACCTACTGCCCACCCCCTCTGTGTTCTCCCTCTACCTCTGTTTTAATTAATTAATTAATTAATATTTTAATATAAATTGACGATTTTAACTCTCAAATTAACGGCAATATTGACAGAGTGTAGCGGTAGGACCAATGTGCCGATTAATAAATAATTGGTGGACCATTTGAACGAATAATTTAGTTGAGGAACCAAAATGCAATTCGAGTATAAATTTGAGGACCATTTGAGTAAATAACCCTATAAAAATAATAAAAAATCACTATATATTTTGAAGTATCAATAACAACCAACAAAAAAAACCTAATTTAAATATCAATTTTTATAGGGCTAATTTTGCTATTACACGAAAGGACCAATTCGATTAA